TAGCCCTCGTTGTCCTTTGGGGTTTCGCAGGGACCATCCCAACCTATCCAAAGCGCCTAAAGCAGCGGTTCTCAACCTATGGGTCGCGACCCCATTTGGGGTCGATCGACCTCTTTTATGGGGTCGCCAAATGCGGCGATCCGCCATTTTGTCGCCTCCGGGGGCGCGCCGCACCTCCGGGGGGGCGGTGCCGCGCACGCGCGCCGCACCTCCGGGGGGGCGGTGCCGCGCACGCGCGCCGCGCTTGGGGCCGGCAGCGCACCTCTGGGGGCGGCGCCACGCATGCGCGCCGTGCGTGGGGCGGCGGCGCGCCTCCGGGGGCGGCGGCGCGCCTCCGGGGGCGTGCTGCCGCGCATGGGGGCGGTGCCGCGCATGGGGGCGGCACCGCGCCTCCAGGGGCGGCACCACACATGCGCGCCACGCGTAAGGGGCACCGGCGTGCATGCGTCCCGCGTGCGGGGCCCCGCCCCCCAGCGCCGCGCATGCACACCGTGCGTACGGGGCGCCGCCGCGCATGCGCGCTGCGTGCGGGCCCCCCGGGGCGCCGCGCAGGGGCGCGCCGCGCATGCGCGCCGCACGCGGGGCCCCGCCCCCATGCGCGCTGCGCCGCGCATGCCCATAACATTTGTGCGGGGGTCGCCGTCACACAAACGTTGAGAACCGCTGGCCTAAAGTGAATACATTATTCCCCGCCCCATTACATCTCCCATTGTTCAAATTGTATCCCTCTCTGCCCTTATTTACAAATTACCTTTTATGGCTACTAGTTCCTACGTAGATTGTCTGTAGAGCAGGGGTAGGCAACCTTGGCTCTTTTATGACTTCTGAGCCAATTCTGGAAGTTGAAGTCCACGAGTCATAAAAGAGCCAAGGTTGCCTACTCCTGCTCCAGAGTAACTATCGTATCAGCAAATTCTGGTTAAGACGGGTTTCTAGCCTGGCAGAGGCCTTCCTACATACAATTCTCAAGCTTCAGGGAGGCTCATGAAATTAGAAATATGTACAATGTATTTTCTTTACAGGCTAGCAGGTCTTCTTACAGTTCTGTAAAAACAATAGGCGTTTCCCCCCAAAATCCCTCCTTTTTCTTTCCATACTTTCTATTTTTATTTTTACATTTTTATTTCTCAAATTGTTGCAACATTTTTCCAACATCTTCGCTCTCATCTTTCATTTTCCATCCAATCATAGTCTTTACAACAAACCGTTATTATTGGTCTACATTGCAAACAACAATTTATCATTCTAATTATTAATATTCAAATTCCCAACATTACTAATGGTTTTACCCACCCGGCCAAGTTAGGGATCCAATCATTGAGTCCTTTCAAGGGATTCCAACCATCCTTTCCTCTGGCCCTAGCCTTTTGTTGTAATGTATTTATTTGTTCATGATGTTTGCAATGATTTCAGAATAATCAGGTACATCTTAGCTAGTATGATGTACCCAAGCACAACAACTATAATCAATTCGCTCTGCACATGGCCCTCACATCACAGAAGCTGCTAAACTCTCTATTTCTAATTGTTAGCTTAACAACATAGTCCTTAATATTTTTAATTCTTCACTTAACAACATTCTATCACTTTAAGGCTCAGAGCACTGTTTTTGGCACCACTCAGTTTCCCACCCCACCCCCGCCAGGCTGAACTGGTGGGCAGGATTGCCTTTCGCCTTCCCCGCCACTGCATTGGCAGCTGATGCTGTCCTCTTAAGAGGCGGCATGGCAATTGGACGGCGGCCATGCTACGAATGGGAACAGGCCATCACCCAAACCTCAGCCATGTTCTCCACGTCATGCTGCCAAAAACAGCAAGATAGACTCGTACACAGGCACAGCGCCAAAAACAGCGCTCGGAGACTCCAGGAGCCACAGGGATCTGTGCATGACCTTTGCAGTCGTCCTGCTGCAACGTGCAGCCTCTCCCTGTGAGCAATCCGCCTCGCTCAGGCTGGCTGTTGTGGGAGTCTTGTCCCGCATGTCCGACAGAGCTGGAGGACAGGGATGGGCCAACTTGACCCCAGCAGAAGCGGATTGCTTCAACTGCGAGGAGCCTTGCCTGAGGTTTCCATCGCCCAGGCTTCCTCAAGCTGATGGGAAATGTGGCACACCACAGCTGAAGAGCTTAGCTGAGTCACAAAGTTGAATGCTCATGTCGAGCAGTGGTGCGCCTCGAGTGAGGAAGCGGCATGAACTTTGAGGGCGTGAGTGCCTGTATTTCTGCGGCTCGTATGCAGAGTTCACACCGCGCCTTCCCTTTGGCGATCAAGGGGGCTAATGGTGGTAAATCCAAATCATTTTTTTTTTGAAAATATTTTATTGGTTTTTTTAATTTTTAAGAAAAAGTACTCAGGACACACTGTGGTGTTTGGGTAATTAGACATTCCAAAGTAAAAAAAAAATGAATAAACAACTCAACTCAATACATTCACTGTCTCCTCTCTATTTCCCTCAAATAACATAATACGTTTAAAATATTCCATTTCTAAATTAAATTTCTATTACTACTAAACCTGTTTTAAAAATTTATCAGTTTACAATTATCAAAATCAAATTTCACTTTAACTCAACAAGTTATCAATTCAGGTATCCCTTCCAGATATATTCTAGTTCTTAATTTCTCTCATCCCTCTTTTTATCACCAATCTCATTTATGTCTTCTTCCATTACACAATAGCTATCTTAATTAAAAAATAATGTTAATTCACTTCAATTCATTACAGAAACTTCAAATTTCATCCAATTAATTGTCATATCTTATCACATCTGTTATTGTACAAAAAAAATCATCTAAGTTAAAACACTCCATTATTAAAACCATCCCAATCTAAAAAAAATCAACATTTTTTCAATTCCAACACATAATTTTCATCAAATAAATCTGTTATTCCAAAAAATATTCTTAATCTATTTAAAATATCTTTTCTAAAAATCCCCCTCATATATATATGTTTATATTTTTTCTTGCTTCTAACTCTAAATCATAATCCTTAAAACAAACCATAAATCAAACATTGCCTTTAAATCCATTACACAATTTTAAATTTCTCTTTTCAGTCTAATTCTGGCTTTTTTCCTGTGCCCAGCAGGTTTCCATAGGGATGTTTCCCTTTCAGCCAGTAGATCTGTCTTTGTTGCTTGTAGTAGCCTTTGCAATAATAACAATCTCATCCTCTGCATTACACGTGCTGTATCTCTCCTCCTTGAAGGGTCGTTGCTTTGTAGTTTGAAGTCTCAGTCTTTGCTTCTTCTGTTCCTCAAAGTTGCAGATGAAAGGTTTGTAAGATAGAATAACTTCCTCTTTTATCTCTATTAATTCCTCTTCTAATATATTTTGATTTATATCATAGTCAGATATAGCCTGGACGTCCATTTGAACATTTGAAGTGAAATCCCTAGATCTTAGTTCTGTAGTAAACTTTTTCATTGTAGCACATATTTCTGCAGTAGCCTCATAGATCTTTTCCAATATAAGTGTACAGTTTAAATGTGACTTGAGGTTTCTCCATTTTGATAGTAATTAAAAAGAGTCTCTTTTTTCTTTTTTGTGGAGGCTATATTTAATATAATTTAGGCAATATCCACCCCCACAGTTCCCCAGTTTATCTTTCCTCTTCAAAAGTATTTTGAAGGTCAGCTGTCTTCAAACCAAGTAACCAGAGACTGCAGTATTAAATTGTTGCCACTAGATGTCCTCAGTAAATTAAAAAAGGTCTTTTCCAAACGCCATCTCCCTTTTTCTTTTTTTTAAAGTATAATGTGAAAAAGAAATAATCTTCCAGCATAGGATGATAGTACAGTTCTTAGAAAAAAAATATAAAAGTAAATATAGTCTTTAGAATTTTGTTCTATTTTTATAGAACAAGCTTTTCTTCCCAGAAAAATGTAGAAGCTGCCTTTTCAAGCCAGGGAAATAATTCCAAAAAGGCTCTTTCAGGTAGCAAAAACAAAATAGAATAGAGAGAATAACAAAGAAAAGTCTCACCCGGATTCATCATGGGGGTTCTTCCAGCTGAGATGTTCTTTGACTTGCGGTTTGAAGCAGCAGAATGATCAGCTATTTTACTGGCCGATCTTCTTCTCCGTCGGCTCTTAGAGATGGCTTGGACAGCTGAGAGAGCCGTCGCTCCTCAGCTACCGAGCAGAGCCTCCTCGACAGAAGTCACACCCTCCAGGGCTATTTTGGACCCGCATAAGGGTCTGTCAGCGGAGGGAAAGTTAGCCGACGAGGAGACAAGTCTCCCCGTGTGACTAGAGACGCTGCGAACCGGCGGATTACAGTACTGATGATGAATGTAAATGAAAAGGCAGTTTCCAAAGCCTTCCTCCCCCACCGAGGGAAACCTGAGTCACATCCCAGAGTGGGATGTCTCTGGACGCCCAGCTTTCTTTCCCGCCCTTCCGCAGAGGAAGAGAAAGGCGGCAAAGCCTGCAGGGTAGTGCAGGCCCCTCTGGAGGCTGCTTCCGGGTGAGGGTAAAAGACAGAAGCTGCTGGTTGAGGCCCCTGCCAGTCCCCACCCCTGCCTGCCTGCTGGATTCCCCAGTCCAGGGCAGGGATAGAAAGGTGGCAGCCTCTGCTTGCCTTAGGCCCCGGCTCTCTTAATGTTCAGGTTGCCTCGCAGTGGCTGCACTGGCAGTAGTCAAGGCAGGGGGGTGGGAGGCACGGGATCCGGCCTGCCAAAAAACCTACGGTGGGACAGAATGGGCTGGGTCTTAAGTAGGGCTTATTTGGGGGAGGGGAGGGCTTATATTAGGCCCAACCCCCAAAATCAAGCTAGATCTTATTTTCTGGGTAGGTTGTATTTTTGGGGAAACACGGTAAGTACTTGTACAAAATCAATGAAATGGAGGCTGATTAGACTTCCTTAGTTATGTCTATTACAACTACAAATCTTTTGGATTACTAAACAGACAAATTCTGTAAGAAGCTCTGGCCTTCCTGTCCCTTGTATTAACGGGAGAATAAGTTAAAAAAAAAGAGTTCCTCAAACAATCATGGACAGAGAAGAACAAAATGGTTTTAATATGTTTTTTTAAGAACTATTGACTGGCAGCTGGCCAGAATTTGTTATTATATGGATGGCTATATAAGTATTTTAAATAAATCAGAGGAAAAAGAGATGAATCTGAAAAATGTTCCCGCTGAGGCTGCCCATTTGCAAGTTGCTGGATGATGATGATGATGATGATAATAATAATAATAATAATAATAATAATAATAATAATAAAAAAAGTTGGAAGGGACCTTGGAAGTCATTGTCCAACCCCCTTCTCAGGCAGGTAACCCTATAGCATTTCGGAGTTGGGGTGCCACATACATTTTCTTAACAAATAAAGATACATACCCCGCGATTATATGTAGAAATAACTCAAGGTGGCAAAGATACCTAATACAGATCTAAGCTCGCTTTCTCTGGCTCAGAACAACAGTTCATCATGGCTCCGTGAAAGGGAGCGACTGCATTGGCCCAGACAAAGCAAGCTGAGATTTCTTCCCTCATGTTTAATAAAACACGCTTGACTAAAAAGAATCATGCAAGAAATTAATTTCTCAGCTAGGCTTCCAGTAACAGACAAGAAACAAAATTCAGAGGAACACTGTCTATAATCTGGGCATTTGAATGGTTACTGTGCTGTGTCACTTTACATGATTTAAAAGTTTATACCTACTACTGAAATCTCTCCCACAATCTGGGCACTCATAAGGTTTTTCTCCTGTGTGGGTCCTCTGGTGTGTCACCAGGTTGGAATTCTGACTGAAACCTTTTCCACAATGAGGACATTTATATGGTTTCTCTCCTGTGTGGGTCCTCTGGTGTCTAACCAGTTTAGATTTACAAGAGAAATCTTTCCCACAATCTGGACACTCATAGGGTTTCTCTGCTGTGTGAGTTTTCTGGTGTTTCACCAGGACAGAATTCTGACTAAAACGTTCCCCACAATGACGACATTTATATGGTTTCTCTCCTGTGTGAGTGCTCTGATGTCTAACCAGGTCATATTTCCAAAAGAAACCTTTCCCACAATCTGGACACTCATAGGGTTTCTCTCCCGTGTGAGTCCTCTGGTGACTCACCAGGTGGGAATTCTGACTAAAACTTTTCCCACAATGACATTTATATGGTTTCTCTCCTATGTGAGTCCTCTGGTGTTGCACCAGGTAGGAATTCTGACTAAAACCTTTCCCACAATCCGAACACTCATAGTGTTTTTCTCCTGTGTGAGTCCTCTGGTGTGTCACCAAGTTGGAATGCTGACTGAAACTTTTCCCACACTCCGGACACTCATAGGGTTTCTCTCCTGTGTGAGTCCTCCGGTGTGTCACCAGGTTGGAATTCTGAGTGAAACTTTCCCCACAATCCGAACACTCATAGGGTTTTTCTCCTGTGTGAATCCTCTGATGTTTCACCAGGTAAGAATTCTGACTAAAACTTTTCCCACAATGACGACATTTATATGGTTTTTCTCCTGTGTGAGTCCTTTGATGGTTCACAAGAACAAATTTCGAAGAGAAATCTTTCCCACACTCTGGACACTCATAGGGTTTCTCTCCTGTGTGAGTCCTCTGGTGTGTCACCAGGTTGTATATCTGACTGAAACTTTTCCCACACTCCGGACACTCATATGGCTTCTCTCCTGTGTGAGTCCTCTGGTGTATCACCAGGAGGGAATTCCGACTGAAACCTTTCCCACAATCTGGGCACTCATATGGTTTTTCTCCTATGTGAGTCTTCTGGTGTATCACCAGGTTTGAATTGTGACTGAAACCTTTCCCACAATCTGGGCACTCATATGGTTTCTCTTCTGTGTGAGTCCTCTTGTGTCTTACCATATTAGTGTTCATGCTAAATCTTTCGTCACATTGGGTCATCTGACAGAGCTTCTCTCCTATATGGGTCCTTCCATGACCCATAAGGGAGCTACTCTGAGTAAAGTTTTTGTCGCACTCCAAACATTTGTATCATTTTCACTAGGTGGATCATCTCCTGCATAATCAGCTGTGATCCGCAACCTCTATTTTTCCCACATTAGGCAGTTTGTGGGGGTTTTCCATCACTACTAAAATGTTTCTGATCTCTTACTTGGAGGTTGTTTGAGTCAAGTCAAGTCTTCCTGAAAGGGTTTAATTAAAGCTTGTCCATTTTAGCTATCCAAGGAACCTCTTCCTTCCCACTGACTTCCAGTTATGTCCACTTTTTTAACAATTTTGATATTCTCCCCCTTGACTTCTTACGTTATGTTCCCTTTAGTTGCACATGCTCTATTTTTTCCACCTCAAAACTTTGTTCTTGTTATTCTCTCCCTTGTCTCTCATCAGGTGAGACAGGAGAAGAGTTTTCAAAATTTCTGGAGGAAGCAGAAAAGGTTTTGACTGATGCTTTGTCTTGCATTTTAATGCTGCTTCTCATTCTCTGTGGTCCAGAGTGTTCTTCTTGGGATCCTCTTTGTCTGTAAGATTCATATTAACGAGTCAGTTTCATTATTGTTTAACAAATGGGTGCAGGACATGCGAAAGCAGGAAAAAGAAAAACCTTATATTAGCAATAAAACATCAAAATTCTAGTTTAACTCCTAACATTATTTATGATTCATTTGGTAGATAGAAGACTAGCAAAATCCAAATTCAAATATTGATTCAATTATAAAATTCTTTTGGCTGGGATAGATCACATATATATCAATACATATGCCCACAGAAATAGACACCTAAGATTTATGTTATATCTGTGTGCATACGAATCCGTACATCAATTAGAATAGAGCTGGAAGGAACCTTGTAGATCTTCTAGCCCAACCCCCTTCTCAAGCCGGAGACTCTATACCATTTCAGACAAGTGGCTGCCCAGTTTCTTTTTAAAAACCTCCACTGATGAAGCACCTAGAACCTCTGGAGGCAACATCACCACCAGATGGATCTGTAGCTGTCTGGCAAAACGTACTCAACCAGTAGTCCTCAAGGGCACTACATCCACACGGAGAGAAGTAAGCAGTGGGGTATCACAAGGTTCCGTCTTAGGCCCAGTACTCTTCAATATCTTCATCAATGACTTAGATGAGGGAATTGAAGGGGAACTCATCAAATTTGCAGATGACACCAATCTGGCAGGAGTAGCCAACACCCTAGAAGACAAACTCAGGATCCAAAAAGATCTTGACAAACTTGAACAATGGGCGCTATCCAACAAAATGAGTTTCAATGTGGAGAAAAGCAAAGTTTTACATTTAGGCAAGAAAAATCAAAGGTACAAGTAGAGATTGGGCAAAACCTGGCTTAAAAACAGTAACTATGAGAGGGACCTTGGAGTTCTAGTGGACGATCAGGGTGTAGCATTAGCCAAAAAAGCCAGTGTGCAGCATTAGCTAATCCTGGGTTGGTATAAACAGAAGCATGGAATCAAGATCACGCGACATATTAGTACCACTTTATAAAACCCTACTAAGACCACACCTGAAATACTGCAGCCAATTTTGGTCACCATATCACAAAATAGATGTTGACAGTTTGGAAAAAATTCAAAGAAAAGCAACTAAGATGATCAAAGGCCTCGAGATTAAAACATAGGAAGAACGGCGGCAGGACATGAGTTTGGCTAGTCTAAATAAAAGAAGAAATAGGGGAGACATGATAGCAGTATTCCAGTTTTGAGGGGCTGCCACAAAGAAGAGGGGCTCACACTATTCCCTAAAGCACCAGAGGGCAGGATGAGAAACAATGGTTGGAAACTGATCAAAGAGAGAAGCAGCATGGAACTAAGGAGACACTTCCTGACAGTGAATAGCTTGCCCCCAGAAATCGTGGGTGCTCCATCGCTGGAGATTTTTAAAAAGAGGCTAGTAACTTGTCTGAGATGTTGTAGGTTCTCCTGCTTGAGCAGGGGGCTGGACTAGAAGACCTCCAAGGTCCCTTCCAGCTCTATTTTATTCTATTCCTCACTGTAAGGAAGTTTCTCCTTAATTCCAGGTTGCTTCTCTCCTTCATTAGTTTCCGTCCAATGTTTCTTGTCTTGCCTTCTGGTGCTTTAGAAAATAAATTGATGCCCTCCTTTTTGTGGCAACCCCTCAAATATTGGAACGATGCTATCATGTCCCCCCCCCCCAATCCTTCTTTTCTCTAGACTGGCCATACCCAAATCCTGCAACCTTTCTTCCTATGTTTAGTCTCCAGGCCTTTAAATTTTAGCTTCTCCCATCTCCCAGCAGAAAACTAGAGGCAGAAGTTTTAAATCATACAGCGTAAGTGTAATAACTTTTGGAAAAAGAAATGTTATACAGTAGCAGCCGACAAGTTTCAGCCTAGTTGCTTCTCTGCTTTTACACCCCGGAGGAAACAAGGCAGCTCTATTTGCTCCTGGTTTCTCCTCTGAACTCTCAACTCACCTTCCAGCTGTTGCTTCAACTGCCCCCCCCCCCACGCCTCCATCCCTCCACGGATCAATCGGAAGAGGATCAATCGGAAGAGGAAGTTCCTCTGCCCTTCCCCTCTCCTCGACATCCTTTCTAGCAATACTGTGTGCTTTTAAAGCCTTTCACCTCAGCTCCTCTCCCTCCGGTTGGATGACGCAACTCATCCACCGCCGAAGCTGCTGTTGTGTTAGAGCTCCACCTAGTGACGTAAGGCTGAAAATACGCTTACTCTGTCTCTGGCATTTCTAAGCTGTTTTAATTAAAAGCCGTTTTCCTCTCTTAGTGACCACATCCATAACTTTTCTCCAGGACCATCTAGCCCTCGTCTGTCCGTTGGGGTTTCGCAGGGACCATCCCAACCTATCCAAAGCACCTAAAGCAAATACATTATTCCCCGCCCCGATTACATCTCCCATTGTTCAAACTCTATCCCCCTCTGCCCTTATTTTTTGTTGTAATTTATTGATTTGTTCATGATGTTTGCAATGATTTCAGAATAATCAGGCACATCTTAGCTAGTATGATGTACCCAAGCACAACTATAATCAATTCGCTCTGCACATGGCCCTCACATCACAGAAGCTGCTAAACTCTCTATGCCTAATTGTTAGCTTAACAACGTAGTCCTCAATATTTTTAATTCTTCACTTAAAATTATATCACTGAGGCTCAGAGCACTGTTTTTGGTACCATTCGGTTTCCCACTCTACCCCTGCCAGGTTGATGTGGTGGGCGGGATTGCCTTTCGCCTTCCCCGCCACTGCATTGGCAGCTGATGCTGCCCTCCTAAGAGGAAGCGCGGCGATTGGACAGCGGCCACGCTACGAAACCTTTCCCACAATCTGAGCACTCATATGGTTTCTCTTCTGCGTGAGTCCTCTTGTGTCTTACCATATTAGTGTTCATGCTAAATCTTTCGTCACATTGGGTCAATGGATAGAGCTTCTCTCCTATATGGGTCCTTCCATGAACCATAAGGGAACTACTCTGAGTATTTGCTCCCTTTTCTCTGATGAGAAAGAAGAAAAATTTTCAAACTGCATGCAGGAAGTAGAAAAGGTTTTGGGTGATGGTTTGTCTTGCATTTGAATGCTGCTTCTCATTCTCTGTTGTGCAGAGTGCTCTTCTTGGCATCCTCTTTATGTGTAAGATTCATATTAATGGGTTAGTTTCATTATTGTTTAACAAATGGGTATAGGAAGTGTGAAAGCAGCAAAAAAATAATGTATATTACTATGAAAACATCAAAATTCTAGTTTAACCTCTGTCAATGCTGCTAACACAGGATGTTTCCGCTCTGACAACTGATGAAAATGCAGCCATTTTCTCTATTCCTTTAACATGCTTTTTCTTCTTTTACAAATTAGGGGCAGCAGAGAGGGGGGGATTGGAATGTAAGCTCAGCTAGCCATAATAATAACACTGCTGTGGAAATCCAAGGACAAGTTGATAACGTTTTGGTGGGCTGTGGAGAAAGCCCCTGCTTTAAGCCAGGGCTTTTCAACCAGTGTACGCTAACCACCTGTGGTACTTTGCCACGTGCAGGTGGTACGCAGCTGCTAGTCAAGTGTTGCAGGGGACGGGAATGAGCCTAAGAAGACTGAGGAAGAGGAAGCTGCAGCTGCATTAACATTGAACCTCAACTGTTTATTTTTCCATAATATTATAAAATAGCCATTTCTATAACAACAAATGAATCTAATAAGTAAAACCCAAAATCCCCCCCCCTTTTTTTTAGTCATCAAGTTTTTGACACCTTGCCAAGCACTGGTGGTACTCAAATATTGTCATGTCCTAAAAGGGGTACAATCTGTGAAAAGGTTGAAAAGCCCTGCTTTAAGCTAATTGGGGAATGTGATTTATGACAGTTAATTGGGGGTGGGAGTTGTACTTTGTTACTTTGTCTCTGGGGGAAGGGCATTTAGTTTTTGGGTGCAACTATGTAGGCCGATACTTTGTATCCCGAATAAATGTACTTTAAGGAAGAATTTTGCCTCAAAGTTCTCTTGATGGGTTTCATCTATCGCATGGGTCAGTAATCTGCTGCTCTGGAGCCACATGAGGCTCTTTCAGACTTCTCCTGTGGCTCCAGGCTCCAGTCCTCCTCCGCCATTTGCAGATAGAGAGACACAGACAGAGAGAGGCACTTCGCTTCAATCTCTCTCTCTCTCTCTTTCTCTCCCCCCAATCTTCTGCTCACCTGGCCAGCTGGTGCCCGGGTGCCCCACCCCCGAATAAAAGCACAGCCAGGAAGTCCCTTTCCCAGGCTGGCCCTGTCCCAGGTGCACATGGCCGGGGAGCCGCACGGGGCAACCCCAGGATACCTCCTGGGAGCGGCCCACCGGAGCCTCCACTGAGCGAGTCAGCCCTCCTGCAAGCCACAGCCCCGAGGAAGCGCAGGCCCTGCGATCCTCAGTTGGTGCTAATGTTGGCCCCACTGGCCGGGAAGGTATACCAGAGTCCCGGCTGCCGGGAAGGAAGAGGGAGACGCAGCAAGGGCAGGAGAGGAGCGCCGATTTAAAGCCAGCCCAATCAAAATATCCATGGTGTGTCAGCTTGTCGGAGAAGAGTGTGAGGCTGGCTGGCCAGGTAAACAGAAGATGAGAGTGAGTGAGTGAGTGAGTGAGTGAGAGAGAGAGAGAGAGAGAGAGAGAGAGAGAGAGAGAGAGAGGCGCAAGTGCCTGTCTGTCTCTCTCTTTCACACACACACACACACACACACACACACACACACACACACGATGCTCAGTTTCAGATTACCGTCTCTTGGATGGTAAATTTGCTTCCATAAATCAACAAGCGGGCGGGAGGTTGGGGGTGGAGGGGGCAGGAACGAGCCCTTAGAATTAAACGTGCAAATTCCACTGGAGCAACTGAGCACCCCATTTAGAATGGAGAGTGCCGGTGCAAAGCAAAGGAAGGTTTGCAAAATGGAAACCAAGGTTTAGAGCGGGTGGGAAGACAGTCCTGGCGGTACCTCAAGAGCTTTCATTGCTCAACCTGCCCCCAGCATCGCACTGCCCGGCAATTGCAATTGCTCAAAGGCTGGACAGGGTCAGGAGCCAAGGTGGGGTAGGGTGGGGAAAGAGAGAGTTGTTGAACTGAAGCAAGTGCTCTACAAAGGATTCAACCCCCCCCCCAAAGAACGCCCCCCTCTTATTCGGGGCGTAAAACGTGTCCAGTCCATCCCATGAGCATTTTCAGACTTTCATGGGTAGATGCTTGGTTTGGCACAAAGGGTCTGAAGGGGGAATGGTGTGGAGGAAAGCTTTGCTGCTGCCACCACCACCACCAGTAAGGTTCCCAGCGAATCTGCTTTGCCAAGATAGCTCAACTCCATTGCTCACGGGGGAGTGGCGGGAACGCCGGTCACTGCTGCTGCTCAGGAACCAAAACAGGGCAACTGCTTCCAAGCGCGACTTCAGGGCGGGACCGCGGCAGGGAGGGAGAGAAGGGACGCACAGGTGTTTCTCTCTCTCTCTCTCTAACACACACACACACACACTCTGAGTGGGGGAAGAGGGCAGGAGAGACACGCCAGTATAAATGTCTGTGGTGTGTCAGGTGTGGTGGAGTGCCTGAGATGCAGCAGGCTTTTAAGGTAGCCATGTTCATTTATCCCATTCCGTTCGGGCTGGTTCCTCCTCTTGATCCCGTGAGAGCAAGATAGAAAAATGGGTGTGTGTGGGCGCGTGTCGGCACTCGGACTGGATTAATGAATGAATTTACAGAAAGAGAGAAAGGGAGAGAGAGAAAATGAAAAAGCAAAAGGGAGAGGAAAGAGGGAGAGGAAAGAGAAAGAGAGAGATGGAGAGAGAAAGAGAAAGAGAAGGGAGAAAGAGAGAAGAGAGAGAGGGAGAGAAGAGAGCGGAAAGAGAGGGAGAGGAAGAGAGAAAGAAGAAGGGGAAAGGGAAAGAGAAAGAGGGAAGAGAGAGAGAGAAAGAGGGAGAGAAAGAGAAAGAGGGAGAGGAAAGAGAGAGGGAAAGACAGAGAAAGAGAAGAGGAAAGAGAAAGAGAGAGGGAGAGGAAAGAAAGAGAGAAAGAGGGAGAGGAGAGAGAGACAGCGCTCATGCACAGCAACCTCAATGTCTTTTTAATTAAACTTTTCAATCAAGCTTTCCCCCTTCGTATGCACGCTCCCAGAATTTTGCAGCTCCCAGTGTTTTCTTTTCTCTGGGAAACGGGTCCAAGTGGCTCTTTGGAGTGTTTACGGTTGCAGATCCCTGATCTATCGGAACCATGACATTAACATTATTTATGATTGACTTGGCATATAGAAGACCAGCAAAATGCAAGTTAAAATATTGATTCGTTTATAAAATTCACACATATATGCCCACAGAAATAGACACCTAAGAATTTAAATATTTCATTAGACTTACTAAGGCAGCAACATATAAAGAAAATTTATATAAGATGTTTTATAGATGGCATATGACACCAGTTCGATTAGTGAAAATGTTTAAAAATGTATTGAATATTTGTTGGAAATGTAAACAACTGCCAGGCACTTATTATCACACCTGGTGGACATGCCCTAATGCAAAGAAATATTGGCTTAAGATTCATACATGGCTGGAAAAGATGACAAAAATACAGATAGAATTTCAACTGGAATTGTTTTTCCTAGGAATAATAAGATCTGATTATGGTGAAGAGAATGATTATTTAATATTACATGTTTTAACAGCTGCAAAATAGTATTTCCCAATTTTGGAAAAATGAAAATCTACCACCTGATCAAGCTATAATTACTAAAATTTTAGATTGTGCAGAAATGGATAGATTAACACTGGAAATTAAAGAGAAAGATGATTCAATTTATTTGAAAACTTGGGAAAAAAATTAACAATGCTTAGAGATATATAAATGATGGACTTTTAACTAAGTTTTAGATTTTAGATTAATAATATTGTTATTTTTAGTGTGTTTAAATGATGTGATAATTATGATCATTTGAGAATGTACTAATGATAATGAGATTTTAATAATTTTGTTTACCTATTTAAAATAAGTCTATCAATTTTAGTATGACGGTTACAGTTAACTTTATTGCATGATTGCTGACTATGATATGGATTATGTTATTTAATACTTAGACCCGGACGGAAACTTATTTGTTAAAGCAGAAAATTATTGTTGGAGATTGCCCCCATTATTGCATTTACCCCTATCCTACCCCAAATTCCACACCCCTCCTTTTTCCCATATTGATCCTATCCTTTTTTACCCTTACAAAATTTAATAAAATAATTATATATATAAAAAAAGAATTTACATATTTCTGCCTCCATATGTCTACGTATATCAATCAGAATAGAGCTGGAAAGGACCTTGTAGGAATTGTAGCCCACGCCCCTGCTCAAGCAGGAGACCCCGTATCATTCCAGACAAGTGGCTGCCAATCTCTTCTTAAAAACCTCCAGGGATGAAGCACCCACAACTTCTAGAGGGAAACTGTTCCACCGGTTAAATTGTTCTCACTGTTAGGAAATTTCTCTTTAGTTCCAGGTTGCTTCTCTCCTTGATTCCTTTCCACCCACTGTTCCTTATGTCGCCTTCTGCTGCTTTGGAAAACAAGTTGACTCCCTCTTCTTTGAGGCAGCCTCTCAAATATTGGGACGTTGGAATATTGCTATCGTGTCATCTCCCATCTCCCAGCAGAAAATCACAGGCAGAAGTTTTAGTCATGCAGCATAAGTGCAAAAACATTTGGAAACAGAAGGAGACGACATGTTTCAGCCTTCTTGATTGCTCTGCTTTTACACCGTGGATTGTTCTGCTTTTACACCGTGGAGATTTACAACCAGGCAAATCTACTTGCTCCCCCTCTCCTCCGACCTGCCCTCCACTCACCTTCCAGCTGCTGCTTCGTCCCTGGGAAGAGCAGGACAGCCGCTCCACATCTCTCCATCCTCCCGTGGATGACTCGGAAGAGGAAGTTCCTCAGCCCTTGTCCTCTCCTCGACGTCCTATCTAGCAATACTCTATGGTTTTCACTCCGTTTGACCTTAGCTGCTCTCCCTCGGGTTGGATGTCGCAACTCAGCCAGCAGCTATGCTGATTATATGGACGATTTCCTGGCTCTGTCGTTGTGTTAGAGCTCCGCCTAGTGACGTGAGCCTGAAAATACGCTCGTTCTTTCTCCGGCGTTTCTAAGATGTTTTAATGAAGAGGTGTTTTCCATTCTTAGCCACCACGTCCATCACTTTTCTCCAGGACGATCCCAGCGCTCGTCTGCCCTTTGGGGTCTCGCAGGGACGCCCTCATCGTCACTGCAACTGATCTAGGAGTTTCACTTGCAGGAACTAAACCGAGAGAAAGCATCCGTGGGGGGAACACAATGTGCCATCAGGCAAGAAAACACACCTCCCTTGGGGATCAGTGGAGAGTCTTCCAGCCAGTTCTTCATCCTAGTTTGTATTGGGTTCTTCCTGTATTTGCCAAGGTATTTTCTCTTTGGGGTGAGGAGGGGGTGTCCTGCTCCCATCATTACATCCCAAAACTTTATGACTCATTTCCTGTGGCTCTCACGGATTTAAGACATGGAAGCACCAGCATTTCAGGAGATCCAAGGAAACTAGCTTCACTCCGGCTGGCCAGGGCTGGTTTTAAGCCTGCTAAATGCCAGGTGCTTCTGTAATTTCTTTAGAAAATCTCCATTAAGTCAAAGAGAGTGAGACACATACACAGCAGGGCCTAGGAAAAGGGAGTTCAGAAAGACGCTGTCTATATTTGTAAACTAAACTGTTGGATTCGTTGTCTAGTTTAAATAAAGAATCACCTCCAAAACGTCCAAGAGAAAACAATAGTAATTTATTTGCACTACTTTGCAAAGAGGGTGTATCTCATGCACACAAGTACAGTGGACATATCTTAAATAGTTAATATTCTTTCTTTATCTTCCCTATTACCATTGTAAATTTACCTCCCACCTTTTCCTCATTGGCTTCATACTCAGGCTGTCACAAACTATCCACAGCAGCTAAAGTGAAGACATTATTCCCCACCTCTGATTACATCTCCCATTACTCAAATTCTATCACCCCCTGCCCTTATTTACAAATTAGCTTTTATGGTTACTAGTTCCTAGTAACTATCATATCAGCAAATTCTGGTTACGACCAGTTTCTAGCATAGGAGAGGCCTTCCTACATACACTTCTCAAGCTTCAGCTAGGCTCATGAAATTAGAAATATATACAATGTATTTTCTTCACAGACTGGTACAGAGATGTCAAACACAAGGCCCGGGGGCCGGATGCGGTCCCTGAAGTGGTTTCATGTGGCCCGCGAAGCCATCCTGGAAACAGTGAGGGAACGGCCCCCTCTGACTTGGCCCTGACCCAGCCTGGCCGGGAGCCAATGTAGAATTTTGTGGTGACCATCTATACCGAAACGCATTCAGTCTTAGCTCCACAAGGCCATCTAGAAACAGCGAGGAACCAGCCCCTGCCGTGTCAGCCCCGCCTCCTGGGTGCATGCTGGGGAGGTGTTACCCTTTGTGAGGAATGAAGAAATGGACCATGCCTTGGCGCTTACCCCAATCCCACCCCCTTCTGCCAGAAACCCTCAGAACTGTCCCACTCCTGCCCAGGTCCCTATAGGCACCCTTGACGGGAAGTGTAGAGCTGGCCATGCCCACCCAGTAGGCCACACCCACTCCATCCATGCCCACCCAGTAGGTCGCACCCACCCTGGCCGCCCCCCCCCCGAGGGCAACCATAAGGCTGATGCGGCCCTCAGTGAAATTGAGTTTGACACCCCTGGGCTAGTATGTCTTCTTACAGTTCTGTAAAAACAATAGGCCTCTTTCCCTCAAAAAACTAACATATTTTTAAAGAAATCTTTGAAAGCGTTTTAAAAAGAATGGTAGTATGCACGGGCACACAAAGGCGTTTCTACCTGACACTCTTTTTTTTTAATTAGAAGTTTAATATATTCAAAACACACAAAAACAATATTAAATCAGCAATAAACAAGAAATTGAAAAAAAAATACATCATAAAGTGTATGCCTTCCCTCTTTCTTTCTATCAAGGGATTCTTACACACATTCCTGTTTGGAAATTGTGTCTCTTCGGCTAACTAGAAGAAAATCCTTCTTAAAAATGGATCCTGGCCTGATTCCTCGGAGAAACCCAGGCCAACATTTCCCTTCCAGATTGCTCACATCTGTGCAAAACAACAGGGAGATTCTCTGGATGGTCTTGCTGGAGCAGATAAGAGAAGAAAGATAAAAGACACACTGAACTTTATAGGAAATTGGAGACAGCTACCTAGCTAAATAGATGATGGGGGGACGGAGAGAGAGAGTAGCACTAGGTACACATGGAGATTAGGATTAGTGAAATATAGAGTTTAGGAATAGAGAAAGGATATATAGTGATATATAGGCCGTTTGAACAGAGAAAGATGGAAAGATAGTGTTACAGGCTTTTTGAAAGCTCTGTACAGAGTAGACATAAACTATATAGAAAATAGAAAACTGAGATAGAAGATCTTACGTGAGAGACATTTTGGTGTAGGGGTTAAGGCCTCAGCCTAGGAAATGAGTGGGAATCTCAGGCAGAAACTCTGCTGGGGTCTTTAGGCCAGTTCCTGTTCCAGACCCTGAAAGGAGGAGGCCTGGAAATCATCCACCTGTCTGTAGCTCTCACCTGCTAGCCTGCTTGCCTGGGACTCCTATTTCTTCCCACATCACAATCACATGAGGTCCTCACATAAAGACCCACGGGGTCCTAGAGTTGCAGTGGCAACTGGAACTGCCAGGATTCCCTCACAATCCTGTGCTCATGTGATAGCAATGGAAAATCTGGCATCAATTGCTGTCACAATCCAAGAATTACTCATATTTCTTTTCCAAGCTCGGGAGAGGCCTGAAAGAGTAATTTCCCCCACTTTTGGACATTTGGCATTCTGGCCAGCTTTATAATAGCAGTTTGCTAAATCATGAGTGGCTTTCCTGGCAGAGGATTTCAAGACAGTGCTGCAGATTAAGATCTTTTCTAAGTGCAGCTGAAGAGCGGAATGAGAGGTTGGCAGCCTGGAACTATAACTCGCCCTCTGCTTGTAGCTCTGACTTTACCACCCGGAGAAAGGGCTGTGCAGGAGAAAGACACCTGGGCCCTTCTCGGTCTGGGTTCAGGCCGGGGCACATCACCAAAATGGCATTTGTTGCAACTCTCGTGGACTTTTGGAGGACTTGGGATACACGGGATACAACCATTTTGTCCCTCCTAGACCTCTCATCAGGTTTCATGATATCCTTCTGGACAGGCGCTTGGGACTGGAAATGAGAGGCACTTTATTTAACTGCTTCTGCTTCCATCTCCATGCCCTGGTCCAGTCAGTGTGGGTAGGAGGACGCGAGTCCTAGGCCCCTGCAGTTTGGGGTGCCCCAGGGCTCAAGCCTTTCGCTGCTGCTTTTTAACATTGACGTGAAATGGCTACCGAAGGCCGTCCATCTTACGATACCAAATTATGTACAGGCAGTCCTAGACTTCATGTAGCGACCATTCATAAAGTCACAACAGCACTAAAAAAAGTGACTTATGACCATTTTTCACACTTACAACCATTGCAGCACTGCCATTGTCCACATGACTCAGATTTGTGAGTTTCAGTGTCCTGGGGTCATGTGATCACCTTTGGGGCACAACCTGAGGGTCCCCCTGGACTCACGGTTCCTGCTTGAGAAGATGATGGCTGGGAGAGGGGTTTGCAGAGATTATTACATATTTCTGCATCCATATGTCTACGTATATCAATCAGAATAGAGCTGGAAAGGACCTTGTAGGAATTGTAGCCCACGCCCCTGCTCAAGCAGGAGACCCCGTATCATTCCAGACAAGTGGCTGCCAATCTCTTCTTAAAAACCTCCAGGGATGAAGCACCCACAACTTCTAGAGGGAAACTGTTCCACCGGTTAAATTGTTCTCACTGTTAGGAAATTTCTCTTTAGTTCCAGGTTGCTTCTCTCCTTGATTCCTTTCCACCCACTGTTCCTTATGTCGCCTTCTGCTGCTTTGGAAAACAAGTTGACTCCCTCTTCTTTGGGGCAGCCTCTCAAATATTGGGACGTTGGAATATTGCTATCGTGTCATCTCCCATCTCCCAGCAGAAAATCACAGGCAGAAGTTTTAGTCATGCAGCATAAGTGCAAAAACATTTGGAAACAGAAGGAACATGCAGCAGCAGCAGCAGATATGTTTCAGCCTTGTTGCTTGCTCTTCTTTTACACCGTGGAGGAAACCAGGCAAAACTACTTGCTCCCCGTCTCCTCCGACCTGTCCTCCACCCACCTTCCAGCTGCAGCTTTGTCCCTGGGAAAGCACGAGGGCCCCTCTACATGTCTTCATCCTCCCGTGGATGACTCGGAAGAGGAAGTTCCTCTGCCCTTGTCCTCTCCTCGACGTCCTTTCTAGCAATACTCGATGGTTTTCACTCCGTTTCACCTTAGCTGCTCTCCCTCCGGTTGGATGTCGCAACTCAGCCAGCAGCGATGCTGATTATGTCGACGGTTTCCAGCCGCTGTTGTTGTGTTAGAGCGCCACCTAGTGACGTGAGCCTGAAAATACGCTCTTTCTTTCTCCGGCGTTTCTAAGATGTTTTAATGAAGAGCCGATTTCCATTCTTAGCCACCACGTCCGTCACTTTTCTCCAGGACGATCTAGCCCTCGTCTGCCCTTTGGGGTCTCGCAGGGACGCCCTCATCGTCACTGCAAGCTTCACTTGCAGGAACTAAACCGAGGGAAAGCATCCGTGGGGGGAACACAATGTGCCATCAGGCAAGAAGAAAGCACACCTCTCTTGGGGATCAGTGGCGAGTCTTCCAGCCAGTTCTTCATCCTAGTTTGTATTGGGTTCTTCCTGTATTTGCCAAGGTATTTTCTCTTTGGGGTGAGGCGGGGGTGTCCTGCTCCCATCACTACATCCCAAAACTTTATGATTCA